GAGCAAGAGCGGGCTCACCAGAGAAGGAGAGACGTAGCGAAAGTGAGAGGGAGAGTGAGAGCAAGAGCGGGGTGACCAGAGAAGGAGATACGTAGCGAAAGTGAGAGTGAGAGTGAGAGCAAGAGCGGGGTCACAAGAGAAGGAAAAGTGGCAAGTTACCCAGGTCAAACGAGGCAGCGGGCCCCGCCCACGCCAGCCCTTCCTCCCGCAACATACGACCCCATGGTGGCGCAACTGGCGTGGCACTGACGCGCAATACCATTTAGCGAACGGAAGGCGCTCGCGCGCGGTCCCGCCTCCGACGTGGCGAGGGGAGAAACACGGGCCGTGCACAGGCGAGAACTTCCAGAAAATCCTTGCGCGCAGAGGTGGCGAGAGCACCAGTTTAGCCCTCTCTCGCGCTGCAAGCTTTCCTCTGAGCGCGGCGATTGCGAAGCATGCGCCGCGCCGAAACAGCGCTGACGCTTTCACGCAAATCTGTGCGGCGCTTTGACGAAGGCTGGACTTCGCCTACTTTCGCGCCGCCTCGCTGCCGCTGCCGCTGCCGCTGCCCCGTGCGCTGGCACATGCGCCGAGCCGAACTGGAAGCGCTGCTTCCAGGCGAAACCTGCACCGGGCCTGAGCGGGGGCGCAAGAGTTCGCCCGCCCGCTCGCGCGCAGCCCCTGGAAACACTTGGCGAGCGAACAATCCGCCCCCGTGCCCTCGAGACTCGGAGGAAGGCAACGTGAGACAACGGCCGTGAGACAATGGTGGCCAAATCGGCTCAAAATCGGTCCCCGGACCCCCCCCGGGGTCCAAACGCACCGATTTTTCACACTGCGTCCAGCCGTGGCGACGAGGAGGCCCCTCGGAGGCGAAGAAGGCAAAAACGTCACCCTTGTCTCACCCTGCCCTCCTCTGAGAGACTCGTGCCCTCGGGTCCCTCCTTGCGTCCCCTGGAGCGGCGGCCTCAGCCCTGAAGCTTCCTGCAGGGGCCCGGAGCCCAAACTGCCACATCTCCTGGGGCGCGTCGCGTGCCCCCTGGGGGCCCAGGGCATCTCCACGCACGATTCGTTCGGGGCCAAGGAGGAGGAGGAGGAGGAGGAGGAGGAGGTGAAGGAGGAGGAGGAGGAGGAGGGAGGAGGGAGGAGGGCCCCAAGAGGGGGCCCAGACAGTCGAGAGGGGCGCCCCGAAAATCGCCGCACGATCAGTCGACGCCCAAAAAGCCCCAAGACGGCCCAAGCAGCCTTCAAGGCGCCCCAACAGAGCCCCAAGAGCCTAACCAAGAGGGCCCCGAGGGGCCAAAATCAGAAATCCCAATGCGGTGCTTCAATGTTTTGGGGGGTCCTCGACGTTTCGAGCTTCCGACGCTGCATCACGACCCAACAAGCCCCGAAGACCGCCCCAAGACGCCCAAGAGGCCCCCAAGAGGGCCCCCACACGGCCCAAGAGGGCTTCAAGACGGCCCCAGGGGCGCCAAGGACGGCCCAAGAGGGCCCACGGACAGTCCCAAGAAGGGCCCAAGAGGGGGAACACGAACGGGGACATCTGAGTCTTCCGCCCCAAGAGGCCAAGAGGCCCCTCGAGACCGTCAAGACGCTCTCACGACGCCCCCAGAGGCCCCAGAACTGCTCCCAAGAGGCCTCCAACCTGCCCCCCAAAAGGAATCCAAGAGGCCCACGAGAGAGCCCCGAGAGACCCCCCGCGTCATCCCAACGAACATCCGAAGGAGGACTATGACCCACAACCCAGGCACGGAGGCGGGATGGGCCGAAGGCCATTCGATATTGGCCGCGCCTCAACGGAAGCGCAACTTACGAAATCTGCACGGCGCCGATGCGAGATTGACATTTCGCCCGCTCGCGCGCAACCCCGCTGTCGACGAATTGGCGAATAACACACGTGTACCACGCCCTACTTGGTGCGCAGCTTTCAGAAAAAATGCACGCGCGGCACCGAAGCGAGAGCGACAGTTCGCCAGTTCGCGCGCGATGTGCGCCGCGCCGCATCCCATCCCTGCCACGCACCTTGCATCGTCGACGCCAAAGCATACGTTGAAAGCGACAATGTCCGCTTTGCATTTGCGCTGTATGGGTAGGATGAAACGTCCCAGCTGCAGGGTCCATCAGCCGGCTGGGTGGCAGAGTGGGAATGTATACGAATGAGGTGCACGGATGAGACAGGGAGAGAAATAGAGAGGGCAAGGGAGGAGGGAGGGAGAGGGAGGCAGGGCGGCAAAGGAGGGAGGGAGGGGAGGGATTGTTGTTTCTCCTCTCTCTACCAGCGTTAGCATGATATCGTGCATGAATTCATCCCGCTCAACATCGAGGGCACCGCATGCGAGGCGCACCTGTTCGGCGAGACCTGCAAGCTCAAATGTGGCAACCCCCTCGGGAACGTCCATCACAAACTTCCTTGCCTTCTCCTTGGGCGCCGCAGTACGACTCAGCAACGAGCTGTCCAGAGTAGTGATGTTGTCGCCAATAAAATCAGACAAGGCCTCAACCTCTTGCAGAAAGC